GTTTTTTCTAACTCTTTCGGAAAAGAACGGTGAAAAATGGCCGCAGTAAAGTGGTTCCCCTTTTATGCTGTTACCTATGGTAAACGTAGACCGGGGGAATGAGGGGATAAAAATTCATAAACAAATTTTAAGTTCTGTAACTACTTTCACTGCGCACTGATTAATTTTAAACATTGCATTTTGGTTGCTCATCCCCGCGGGTTTCTGTTCCACGTTTACCATAAGTAACAGCATAAAGGGACAATCCGCTTTTAAAGCTGCACTAACTGACTTTATTTTTGTATTCATCACGAAAATGCAATCCATATTCATGCAATGCATTGGGATATACGTCCTTTTGAAGAAAAAGTAGTGCAGATTTGTGCTGGCATGTCACTTAATTTCGTTCGATCGAGTTTTTGAGCAACAAGGAAGAGAATGTGTTTTGGGACCTGATTGTGACCAATCACAGCGGACCACTGGCCCCGCTTTCTTGAGAAAATCCACAGGTCTCTCGTTAGCACAGACAGCTGCGGTAAACAAGCGGCGGAGGCTAAACTGAAGCTTCCTGTGTCTTTGTTACCGGTTATTGCTTACACAGCAAAACATCCATCCAAAAGAAAGTCTCGTCCTCTCCGCGCTTCCCGGTTCTATCATACTATGGTCACACCATCCACATTCAAATGTGCAATCCATACATAGATCTATCCTTGAGACGCTTGCTCTATAAACAACAGTGGGTGTGGGGTAGTGGAGGGCAATAGCTTCGTGGGTGCGGGGAGGGGAGGAAAAAGAGCGAGGCCAGCGAAACCGCTGCTTCGAAATCCTAAAGTCAGTTTGTGCAGCTTTAATGTGCGGCCCACTTTACCGCAACGGCGAAATGCCGGGACACTTTACCGCGGTGAAAAACACGAGAAATGGTTTTTCACCACGGACCCTTCTTGCGTTAAGGGTCCCGGGTTTTCTATGAAGTAAGAATAAATGTCCCGCAGCAGATCGGTGCCAGGACAGAGGCGAGTCTGACCAATGTTTGCCGTCATCCCGGGTCTCATATGGGCTTTGGATTTGTTCAGTTCGGTCTCATATACTTATTTTTAGCTTGTCTTTATATCTCCTCTGACCTTCTTGCGTTAAAGTGATTATATACAGTGCTATTCGCCCACTGAGTTGTTTAAAAGTACTCGTCGCATCCATGCTTCAGTATGTGCCGCTCTGTCTTTTTGTCACCCAGCGAGGGGCACATGTGCACGTGGGTGTAAACAGAGATCCTCCTATTGCCATGGAAGAAACGGCCATATAAGGAAATTGGCTCCAGTTAGCTTATGTCACAGATTTATTATAATATCGGCCTATGTTCAAATCAGCGTCTTCTATCCCTAAATCACAACTGTAGTTATCTCAGGGGACTTTACAAAGTTGTCGATTCGCCAACACAGATCATAGAAGTGAAGCCCACTCAGATTCAATCTAGGCCTAGGGCAACCTGCTGCAGTCCATCAAAGCCTTCACCCTCGGCCAATCCCACAGCGCTGACAACCTACGCCAATTAAGCCAGCTTTTTTTAAACGGAAACTTCCCAACATCTAACAAAAGTTAGACTGTAACTACGGTTCTATGAATCCTGGATTACTGCCAGAGGCGGTGCTTTCATAAAGGATGAATAAGAACCCCTTTTCCCAAGCCTGGCAAGGAGTAGTTCTGGAGGAGTCACTTTCGTCTACTCAAAAATTGCAACCACCACCACCCCGCCTCCTCCTCGAACTTCTAGCCACGCTCTCGGATAAACTTCACCCTTATGCTATCGCCAGTACCTAGGCCCCGGAGGATTATAAGCGGCACACAAGAAATGATTGTCACAGCCAAAATGCCACTGACAGGGCCTAGGGTGCCAAACAAACTTATGAATAAACTTAAGGGTGTCTACAGACCTGCACTGTTGGTCCACTTGAAACGGACCAGGATTCGTTTGGAACTCTGATCCGAAACTTTTATGTAGGTGTGAATACACAAACAAACAAATCCTGGTCCGGACCAAAGAACCGGACCGAGACCACCTAAAAAAGTGGGTCTCGGTATGGTTCTTTGCTTCCAAACAAACTCTGGTCCGAGTCAATTCAGGTCTGAATACAACCGATGTCGATCCGACACAACTCCAGGATACGTGCGCATTTTTTGGCCTTAACAAGCCACCGTAGACAGGAACTGTGAGAAAATAGCCACGCGTCACAGCTGCTAACACATGCTACACAACAACAATGAGCCGTGGGCAGACCTGGAGCAACGAGGAGACACTGTGCCTCCTTGAAATTTGGGCAGAGGCACATATAACCCAACTTCTGGAAAAGACACACAAAAATGCGGTTGTTTTGCTCTAGAAAGAGCAAACATAGGCAGAGCAGACATGCAGCACGTAAAAGCTCAATATTTTCCTCCATTTCCGCATCTATTCTCCGTGAGCTCTCGCTGTCCAGTAGTACACTTGCAAAAAGTACGGTCTGAATACGGACCAGACCAAAATAAAAATGTCTGGTCCGCTTTTGGTTCGGACCAAGCAAGCGGACCAAAGGACTTTTATGGTCTGAATACACCCATATTTACTGAAATGTTGCATCTGTGCATCCATCCATCCATCCATTTTCTTCCGCTTTATCCGTTGCCGGGTCGCGGGGGCAGCAGTCTAAGCAGAGACTCCCAGATTTCCCTATCCACACACACTTCCTCCAGCTCGTCCGGGGGGACCCCAAGGCGTTCCCAGGCCAGCTGAGAGACATAGTCCCTCCAGCGTGTCCTAGGTCTTCCCCGGGGCCTCCTCCCGGTGGGACGTGCCCGGAGCACCTCCCCAGGGAGGCGTCCAGGAGGCATCCGGAACAGATGCCCGAGCCACCTCAACTGGTTCCTCTCGACGTGGAGTAGCAGCGGCTCTACTCCGAGCTCCTCCCGTGTGACTGAGCTCCTCACCCTATCTCTAAGGGAGCGCCCAGCCACTCTGCGGAGGAAGCTCATTTCGACCGCTTGTATCAGCGATCTCGTTCTTTCGGTCATTACCCAAAGCTCATGACCATAGGTGAGGGAACAAAGATTGACCGGTAAATTGAGAGCTTTGCCTTTCGGCTCAGCTCCCTCTTTACCACAACGGTCCGATACAGCGACCGCATCACTGCGCACGCTGCACCGATCCGCCTGTCAATCTCACGCTCCATTCTTCCCTCACTCGTGAACAAGACCCCGAGATACTTGAACTCCTCCACTTGAGGAAGGACCTCTCCACCCACCTGTAGAGGGCAAGGCCCCTTTTTCCGGTCGAGCACCATGGCCTCGGATTTGGAGGTGCTGATTCTCATCCCAGCCGCTTCACACTCGGCTGCAAACCGCCCCAGTGCATGCTGCAGGTCCTGGTTCGTTGGAGCCAACAGGACAACATCGTCTGCAAACAGTAGAGATGAAATCCTGTGGTCTCCGAACCGGACCCCCTCCGACCCCGAGCTGCGCCTAAATTGATTTTAGTTGGAGCTTGATAGAACTAATTTCATGGAACTGGCGCTGGTGTCTTCTCTCAGTTTGTTTGGACCGTCGCCTTCTCTGAATAAGTCAAGGATCGTAGGGACTGCTGTTTATACTCTTCTTTTGTAACTTTCATTACAAAATACACCAATTTTAAGGTTTATTTGTGTCAAAGCGGTAGCAGGAGCAATGCCATGGCATAAACAGTGAGGCGGGAGCTGCGACCCCTACAAATACGTCATTATTTTTCTGGCCAATCAGAGGCGTTGATATTAAAAAGTTATTTTACTGATTTATTACTTATCTATTACACGAAAACACATTGCAAAGGTGGGAAATACATATATACACAATACACAATAAGGATAGCCCGCTTTTAACTCTCTTTGCAGTCCTGGGCCTTGTATTTCTCTGTATTTCCTCATGTTGGCACTGTTGTTCACATGAACCCCTGATAGAGCAATGCAGGCCACAGCAACTTTAAATGACAGGTCCTTTCTGTGTGGAGTTGGCATGTTCTCTCCGTGTCTGCGTAGGTTTTCTACTCCAGCTTCGCCTGCCACTAAAAACATGCACATGGTGAGGGTGAAATGAGTGTGTGAGTGTGATTGTGGGAATACAGAAGGAGTTTAGTCACAGTTGCTTCTAATTATGATGGGCATGTCTGTCATGGTTCAGTTTTGTAGGTCAAGAGCAGATTTTTCAACCTGGCTCAATTCTTGCTACGTGGGTCACTGATGGATTCTTTGGGCTGAGAGCTGATTGGCCTCTCTTTTTCACTATTGTAGCTGAAAAAGCTGATATAATGATGTGATGTGTGATAACCAGCTTTAACCTCTGTGGTGCACATTCGAGTAGATGCTTTTCTGACCACAGGAAACAGGAGTGTTTTTCTTTTTTTGTTGAATTGTGGGGAATACCTCTGCAGCCCGTTTCCACGGAAACAAGAAGAGAAAATGGGAGGGCTTTAAAGAGACAGAAGCAGATGTGAAGGAGGTGTCTGGGGAGACCTGTGACTGTATGGGAGAGGGATGAGTGAGACCAGCTTCATGTGAGCTTCAGTCCTGCGCGCTGCCCCTTATTAGAGCAAGTGTGCCTCCGACAAACACCTTCTCTATTTGTCTACAACAAAGTCTGCCCTCTGCTGTCTGAAAATAAATAAATAACTGATGGTTTAAGTGTGTTAAGACATAAATTGTCAGACGGATAAATATTTTATTCACAAATCACAAGAATGTGTAATATATTGCATGTGAACATGGCACATGAACATTAACATTGTTCCAAACGTCACTTGTCTGCCTCTTACTTTGGTCCTATTATTTTGTGGTTTCACATAAAAATAAATATATATTCAAATACTAATACTATATCATATTAATTTCACATGATGTCATAGAAATCTTAAATATGGATCAAAGAGGAAACTGTTCGATGAGACCAGGAAAGTAAAAAGTACGATTAGTTCCTCAGCAGAATATTCCGCTGCACACGAAGCAGGTCATCTCTGAAGTCAGCGATCAGAGGTTCTTTTTGCTGCTGTCCTTCCCTTCCTGCGCAGACAGGAAATTGTGGACGAGCATAGCGAGTTTGCGCGGACGCTCCAGGGCCAGAGAGTGACCACAGTCCTGAAGCAGCACCACCTGTGTGTGAGGTCAGAGGTCAGAGTTGTGCATGAGGTCAGAGGTCAGGTGTGTGCGTGAGGTCAGAGAGGAGTCAGACCTGTGTGTGAGGGAGAGCAGCAGGGATGAGGGACGCTCCGGACACATGCAGCACCTGGCACAGACAGGGGTCAGAGAGGGCTTTAGTCTCGCTTTAGTCCCGCTTTAGTCCCGCTTTAGTCCCGCTCTAGTCCCGCTTTAGTCCCGCTTTAGTCTAGCTTTAGTCCAGCTTTAGTCTCGCTTTAGTCCCGCTTTATACACGCTTTAGACCTACTTTAGACCCGCTTTAGACCCACTTTAGACGAGATGTTTTGGACTTAGTGCTAGACATGTCTGGTCTTGGTGTAAGGTCTCTGCCTCTGTCCTAGACTTGGTATGATCTGTCCCCTAGTTTTGGATCTAACCTGGTCCTGCTCGCCCCACACCACTTGCACAGGGACGGTGATGTTCTGGAGGTTCTGCTGGAGCGAGTGTCTGGAATCCTGAGAGCTGATGCACTCGAACACTGTAGAGAATGGGAGAGAAGATGTCAGGTCTGGGCTCTCTAGGGACTCTGGCCTCGGGCTCACTTACAGTGTTTATAGAAATTGTTGTGTGGAAGTCTGTTCTGTAGCAGCCCCTTCATCATCTGAAAGACATGACATCACAACGCGATGACATAACAGAAGTTCATGTTTCTTCTAATAGGAGATATGCCTTCACATCATAACATACCTGCAGTGGGCGGGGCTTACCTGTTGGGGCAGCTGCAATGGTTTGTAGCAGCACAAGTTGAGCATCTCCTGCAACTGAGGAACAGAGCTGGGGATAAGGGCGATGGACTCCTCGCTCTGCTCCTGCTTTGGTCTCTGATCCTGGTCCTCGTCTTGGTCCTGCTTTGGTCTCTGGTCCTGGTTTTGGTTCTTCTGGACTTCCAACACCTTGAGGCGCTTCACAAACTCTGTGTCCTCCGGCGACTCAAGACCTGCAGCACAGAGTGTTCTGAGGAGAGAGTCTATACAGAGTGTTCTAAGGGGGTGGGGGTGTTACCTGCGGGGCACACCAGCGTCACAGAGATCAGGTCTTTGGGGAATCGTGCAGCGTAAACACCTGCAAGGTTTCCTCCCATCGACGTCCCCATGAGATGGAAGCTCTGCAGCCCTAACCTGTGGACGAACTTTGGAACAAATGGAGTAAGAGATGGTCAGGATGAGCAGCACTCCCATCTACTGGCAGAAGAGGGAATTACAGGACTAAAGCCAGTCTAGACCAGAATTACAGCTGGAATCAAGCAGGACTAAAGCAGTACTCGGGCAGGACTAGGGCAGGACAAAGGCAGGTCTAAAGAAGATCTAAAGTAGGTCTGACCTGGTGGATTCTGGACACCTGTCCGTTGATGCTGTAGTCTTCATCTTGGAGACGGCTTGTCCCATCGTGTCCCGGTAAATCCAGACACACCACATGGTACTTCTCTGGCAAGAACTACACACACACGCACATGCACACACACACACACACACACACACACTTCAAATTAGCAATCAGCTGATTTTTGGTGAGTTTATAAAAACAGCTGCGCATTTTATTCTTAAACTGGATTGGGGGACTCCAAGATGTCTGCCCCTGGTCACCAAGACGTCTGCCCCTTTTTCTCCAAGACGTCTGCCCCTACTGAGCTACTTTCGCCCCTGGCTACTGTCCCCCTCCCCACCACGAACCCACCACGACCCATGTCATGTGTTCCCACTCATATCTGCTGTTATTGTGTCCCTGGGCAAGACACTTAACCCCACATTGCCTGAAGCCCCTGCTGAAAGACCAAAGCCATGTCTTCAATAATGGAGAAGCCATCTTCCTGTGGACCCACCACCTGTAGGAGGATCAACAAGGGACTGGTGATTTGAGACTTCGGCGGCAGCTCTGAATGCCACCCCCCCGACCCAGAAATTAAATAATAAAGGGGAAGAAAATGACATGATGACATGATGATGACGTCTGCCCCTAGTCTCCACGATGTCTGCCCCTGGTTTTTTAAAATATCTGCCCCTAGTCTCCCAGACTTCTGCCCCTGGTGTCCAGAACGTCTTCTCCTGAGGGACTGAGGGATTTTAAAAAAAAGAAAGATAAAAATCTTTCTTTTTAATGTTCTGTGATTATTTATGATTTTAATGCTTTCTTATTTTGTTCAGCACTTTGAATTGCCTTGTGTATGAATTGTGCTATATAAATAAACTTGCCTTGCCTTGCCTTGGTCTCTACGATGTCTCACGCTGGTTTTTAAAATATCTGCCCCTAGTCTCCCAGACGTCTGCCCCTGGTCTCCAGGACATCTGCTCCTGGTCTCTACGATGTCTCCCCCTGGTTTTTAAAATATCTGCCCCGTGTCTCCAAGATGTCTGCTCTTTCAGATCAGTAGCCTGTGCTCATTGGCTCATGCTCACCCCATGGACATCCCAAACATTGTACGGTTGCTAGATGCATGCAGCGAAAGCAGAAAATGAGATTCATTGAACATCCTCGCTCCACGCACATGCAGAAACCAATCAGAGAGCAGCAAAGTGGTCACAGGAACACAAGCCTGTCAAAACAGGGAGACGAAGACAACCAAAACAGGAGCTAACCCAGGATTAAACCGGGACTGACAATGAGGGACACAGCGCTTGTGAACATATGTCTTCACCCTGAGTTGACGTTCTACCGTGACTGTAAACAAGTGCTGCTAACATGTTCTCGCTAATACGGAAGTACCCACCACATCCAGCTGATATTTAGTGAACATGAGTACATGCCTGCATCAACGCACGTCCATGTCTCCATCAACGCACGTCCATGCATCTGTGGTGGGAACACAGCTTTATAAGGTAAAGAACCAAAACAGATGTGCAAATGAGCGTCTCAGTCATAGACTAAGTACCGGTACACCAATAGTACGTTCTTTGCGCACGGAGAGGTGGCGGTACGCACAAGAGCCGGTATGCATACCGGCCTACTTAAAGCACTGGTCACGAGGAAACCAATCAGAACCTCACCTCACTGTGACACTGAAGAGTGGTGCTGCAGAACCCCCTGTAAAGGGTGCGGAGCGGCAACATTTACCCAATAGAACCTGGCGAGGTGTTTGGGGACGACTATGACGTCACACAGCAGAGTTCCGGGCCAGTCGTGAGCCAGTGCATCCTGACCCAAAGGACTGGCAGATTCCATCGGGGAGAACCACAGATGTGCATTCCCTTGAGTGGCAAAGAGATCCACTCTTGCCCGGCCGAATAACCCCCTAATGGAGTCTACTACCTCCGTGGATGTACATAGCAGTCAAACTGGCAAGACTGGGATAGGGCCAAGTCAACAGCTGTTGTGTCACTACCAGCAAGCACTCCGACCTAGAACCTCCTTGGTGGTTGATGTAAAAAACTACACTGGTGTTGTCCGACCGGACCATCACATGCTGACTCTGCTGGGCCGAAAGAAAGTCACGCTGCGCCACTTTCTGCTGAACTGGCCAAGGGCCCTGAACTCTACGACCCTGCCACGTTGCAGCCCACCCAGTCAGGGACGCATCCCTATGCACTACCTCCTGGCAGCCCCAGGCCCCAGGCCATTGAGCCACATCTGCAAGGGGTGCAATGACATGAGACCCAGGGGAACCACAGTTGAGGCTGCAATCAGCATGCCCAGGAGCCTGAGGAACACCAGATAAGGAAGCAACGCTCGAACGTCCCCGATACGTTGAGGCGAGGGGCAGACAGACATCAACAGTGAATCGAGAGCCATGCTGAGGAATGCGGTCTGCTGAGAAGGCACCACATTGCTCTTCGCCATATTCGGAGACCCAACCTGGTCACATGTATCCCGCAGAGACTGCTTGCGAGTGGGGGCACAGATAAGCCAATCGTCCAAACAGGGCAGGATTCTCAACCCCAACGGGGAAGGAGCTGCCGCAACGTACATCGTAAAGACCCGAAGAGATAGAGAGAGGCCGAAAGGAAGCACTCTGAACTGGTAGTGCCTCCCCTGAAAGGCGAATCAAAGAAACCTTCAGGTCCTTCAAGTCTATCAATGTGAACCAGTCCCCAGGAGTTACCTCCTGGAGGACCTGCCTGACACAGAACATCTTGAAAGGAAGTACCTTCAAGAACAAATTCAGACACCTGAAGTTCCAGTTCTGAGAACGCTCAACACCCTACGGCTGGCCTTGGAGAGAGGAAACTGCGCCAGCCACACCTGGCGGCGAGTTCCCTCGACATGAAGGCAAAAGAAGCATCCACCATCCCCTGCGTTGACTGGTCCAATGAGACACTCTCCAGAGAAAGGAATAGCCCCAACAACAAATGAGACAGGGAGTTTCCAATGCGCCCCATGCGGCCAACCATGCGCCTTGCAGAGCAGGTCATCAGTGGCACAACACTGCGGCCACGGGCACCGGGCATTAGTGCGCGGGAGCCTCTTCAGGGTGTACAATTAAGGAGGCAATGGCCAGTTCCACCGCAGGCATATGCCCCAGGCCAACCTTGTCAGGCGCCTGCACAGATGCCAGTGCCCGACCGTCCGAATTGGCCCTTATGTCGGTCCAACAGGCATGTAGCTCCTTGACATACACAGCCGAAGGAGGAACGGAAATCCCAGAGGATGCAAGCAGCCGACGAAATAAGGCACTCGAGGGCCCTGCACCATTTTGAGGTACATCCAGCTTCAAATGCTCCAGGGCCGTACGGATCGCCGCAGTCATAGGCTCATCGGAAACCGACTGAAACCCAACAAAGCCCACCAAACCAGACCTGACAGGACATCAGAGCCACATCAAACGGAAAACTACTGAGCACAATGTCACGGCGAATAGCAAAAACAAACACTCACCAAACGTAGAATGAATGTAACGCGGCTTGCGCAGCCCACGGAGGGCAAGAAACTTGCAGCACTGACTAACGAGCAGGCACGGGGCTACATGCAACAAGCAGCGCAAATAATAGTAGCAAAAACAGCTTACAGTTAGCTCAGCCAGACTCAAACAACCTGTACGCGAGAAAGTGAAAACGGACTGTGCTTCTGGAGTCACGAGGCTTTATAGACTCGCGTGAGCTACCGGAGGTCACGGGCGACTTTTTTGTTATTTGACTATCGACTTGAGCATGCTCTAGGATGATCATCCAGTGCTTAAAGAACGTCTCACCCCCGCTGCTCAAGGCCTACGTCACTCACATTCTCTGTTCAAATCTCCCTCCAAATGGGGCGTGCCTGGAGGACTGAAGGGGACAAGCGGGAGGGGGACTTTTGGGCGGGTCTAGGCTGTGATTGACACTTGACAGCGGCATTGGCATTGACCAAAATGGAGAGTGACAACAGCGATGCTAGCTCGTTCGCGTGTGATCGGTCTTGGGAGGTGGAGGACTTTTCTCCACCTTCCTCCCCGGAGGTTGAGAGACAGGACGGAGCGGCGGAGGCAGATAGCGGCCCTCAGCCCTATCAATTTGAGCCGCTAGCTCGCGAGCTAGCCGGCGCCACCGGGGGAGCCGATGCTGCTGAGGCTGCGGAGCGCCACAGAATGGGGCCTGTTTC